GTTCAAAAGGAGAAAAGTGAGTTGCAAGAGACAAAAGAAAAGTGGTGGGAAAGAAGAGACCAAAGATATAAAGAGAGATTAAAGGTTTAGAGGTTATTCAGACACTGATCTCTAAATGCTGAGGGAAATGACTCACAGCAGAGCTCAACTTAATGACAGAAACCAGATAACGCATTTACATGCATGGCAGTAATCAGGTTACTCAAAAACCCCAGGATACATGAGCTCTTAGGTATAACGAGGTAATCTTTGGTCTCTTTAGCTTCACCTGCAAATCACAACATTAGCTGCCCCATTATTTGTGAAATTAAAAACAAATGAAACATTCATCCAACAAGTGGCTGGTTGGAGCTTCCATTGGCATTCATCTTGCTGCTGCTCGCCACTTTGATAATCGTCCGTTTACATCGGTGACAACTTCCAGTTTTTCTCCAGTCACATGCATACAAGTGACCTTGGAGCTTGTCTTCTATATATGTGTTCCTGTAAGAAGCTGATTAGAAACCTGGTTATGAGTATACATGGCAGAGAAAACGGCGTTCTTGGGGGGAAATCAGGTCTCCCTAATCCCCTACCCCAATTATAGAAACAGAGTTTCCCGTTTACATGGCAGTTAAGAAATCAGCTTACTCGAGAAAGCTGACTGCAACCTGGTTACTTAAGTGCATGTAAATGCAGTCGATGCACCAAAGAGCCACTGATGGTCACTCATGCATGTACAGTACACACAGTGTTTCCCGGTGCAATGACTCAGTTTTCCAGTCATTAATGTCTCAACCTAGAGGCAGACTAAACTGAAATATTATTACTTTCATCTCATTATCAATGTGTGATTCATGTTGTGTAGGTACTAACAACATGAATCAACATTAACCAATACAAACTAAAAACGTCTGATCCAGCTATCTTATAAACTCAACACTCCTGTCAGTCATTTCAGTCAGGGCTTGCAGAGAGGATGGAGCACAATACTGAGTGTATGCCTCTGAGCAGTCTGCACCGCTTATGACCAGAAGATCATCCTGGTTTACTTAATCCAATGAAAAGCCAAAATCTGTGAACATGTGACCTACCTGGTGTTTAATTGGGAAGGTGTACTTGACCCAAGTGGCCTGTTGCATTGTCTCTTCATCCTCCAGCTTCTTCTCCCTCTTTTTCACTTTCTCTTTCTCCTCACGCTCCATGGACGTCATGCGATTTAACCTGAAAATGTTTATTGTCATAAACTGTCCTGCAGCTATTGTCAGTTATCATTGTCATACAGCATAGTCTACAGCTCTTCAAACTGAAAATCAGTTATATTGCACTGGTGAATACTTCCAGCTGTGCTTTAGCAAAAGAGTGTCTTCTGGCAGTTCGTCAAATCTGTTCATAGTGAGCTTCAATGGCAACGTTCTGATTTGTGTACTTGGAAAAACCTACAGCGTGAAATTCAATTCACAACAACCATTCACACCCTTTCAACCCTTAAGTTTATCTATTTAGCGCCACGGAACACTCAGAAATATACCTTGTGTATCGTACCCTAGCAACATTAGCAATTAATTTTCTCGAGCGTAACTGAGAAAGTTACTGAGCGAGTCTAAAACGCTGATTAAAGATGAGATGTTGGCAGTTATTCTTGGAACAGTTCCATGAAACACACACAAACTCTTTTCCTCTTTCTGAAGTGCAACTTGTAGAGCTTACTCTCTCTCTTCCTTTGATGCTCACGGCTCAGTTACATGCATCCACACACACTGGATCTGACCCGACCTGGTGAAATCTTGGACAATTGCTTCTTTTAAGGGGGCGTTGTGGTGCTGAAGCAGTAGTAGAGGCAGAGGTGGGTGGTACTGGTAGTGGACTTGCAGTCTAAATATTATGCCTCACAGCCAGGGTGGGCCTTTTGATCTGATCTGGTTATGATCACCTCTGCCTGTTAAACTAACCACACGTCCCGTATGTACATCCACTGAATGCTCATTTGGGATAGGACTAGGGTTTTGAGCTATTTGAATCTTTTCATTTATACTGAACTAGTGGAGGGATTATTGATATACAATTTATTTCATTATATGTGACTGCAAAAATATATAAGTGTATAAAAGCACAGACTTAGCAATTATATGATGTGTGTGCACCTGGTATGGCCCAGTGAGTCCTTCCAGACAGGCAGCATAGCCACAGGTTTGATGGCACACTCCAGGATGGCCAGAGCCAGTGCAAACTCTCTGGCCTTACTGCACATATGAACCGCTTTGATCCAATTGGCCCTACAAAGCAAACAGAGACATTAACCACTTTCTCTGCATACTTTCACATGTAGGCTACATTTGGTTTTAGGTGTTTAGTCTGGTCATGGTGAGCTTCTACTCCGAGTAAAAATACCACAGTTCTGGTCTTGCTTTCATTTCTACACATAAGGTGACAGATTCTCTGAATGGAAACAAAAACACTAAAACCAACACCCACTGAACATTTTTATGGGGTTCAAATAACAAGATACAGTATCAGAGCTGTAATTCGTAAGTTCTATACCTGTGTGAGGCCCAGTTAGGGTGCATGAAGGGCGCTGGAACATTGTTCTCCAGCTGGATGATGGTGAGTCTCAGTGTGGAGATGGTCAAAACCTTAGAGCCATAAATAGAACCATTCCACTTAAATTCTCCTGCTGTTGTCATACAAAACTTATGGGAGAGATGCCGCCTCTTGTCATGATCCTAACGAAAGACAGATTAAGTGGATTTTAGAAAATGAGCATAAGCATCTGAAAAACCAGGAACACATCTCTGTTAACTGCCCCATTCAATATTTGGCTAATAATTGGTCCACTCTAATAATTGGCAGTTAACACAGACAGCCCCACGCGCAGACAATTTCTGATCTTCAGTCCATCTGCCTTATATGTCTTTGTAAAAATGGAAGAAACCCTTGCAATGATGAAGAGAAGAACTATAATTAATGTTATAATTAATTTTTAAGAACATTCAATTGGCAAAAACAACAAGCAGTTGCATACTCACCTCTCTGTGCTGGTGCTTGTTGAGGGCCAAGGCATTGGAGCTGTACTGGTTATGGTAGACGCGGTACTTGCCCTCCTGGCCGAGCTTGAAGTACTGGCTAAGGGTCCCTTTCATCACCACCTCCTTACTGCTGCGCGTGCTTACACGGGTGATGTCACCTTGTGCATTTACTACTAGTACCTATAGAGGTAAGCAAAAAAAAAAAAATTCAACCAAGACATCAAAACTATTTGCTCAGAATAATAAAGGTGTTTTCATTACTGACAGTTGAAATGAGCTATAGATTTCTTGTTATTGCTCGTCGGCTTTTCAGTCATGCTTCTAACTGTTGCCCTATGGCAAACTCACTAGGAATGACGTTGTGGAGTCAGAAGCATCCCTTATCTTAATACATACAATGAGGTCAATGCACATGTTAGACACTGTGCACACATTTTTCATACATTGCCCGAAGGAACAGAATCAATTTCACCCATGTTTATCACCTCTTTGCCCTCCTTGAAGCCCTTGTTGGCTTCATGAACAGCAGCTGCCACCTGCTGGTTCTTCAGCTGGCTCAGTTTGCTGTCTGGGTTCCTCAGCCGGGTTACCATTCGAGTTGCAGAAGACTTCTTACTGCTGAGACCTGCTGTCTCACCATTGGCCGAATCTTTACTGTCCCCTGGAGATGCAATGCCATGTTCAAAGATACAAGAAGCTTGAACTAAGGTGACACGATGTGCAGAGTTTATTCCAAGAATAACTGTGATTTCATATCATACTACATATCACATGTTTTACTGTCTTTCTCATAGGAAGAAAACTACTGCATAAAATATAATAGTCTGTTTTAAGGATTATGAACTGGGATGTACAATGTGAAGGTGACTAATAAGATAATAGAGCTATCCAAAACTTTTTCTGGCATCATTTTACAGCTCTATGGTTAGCACAAAGTCTAATAAACTGCTATAGAATATTCCAGCAAAACATGGTGTAATTATGATATTCTTTTTCATCAGACCTGTGTCTTCGAGGCTCGCCAGGGATGACTGAGAGGACTTGTCAGCCAGGTCTGGGGGTTCAGGGCCCCTGAGAGAGACCCCAGCTCCCATGCTGCTGTTGCTGTTCTCTTCACTGGGCTGGGAAGGTTGGCTCAAGCTGGGGATGCCATCTCCACTGACAGGGACAGAATCTGATGATTGGTTTTCTGCTACACAGACAGAAAATCACAAACAGTATTGATTGATAGATAAACAAGGCTAGCATGCCTCAATTGTGCTGTTCTTGCTGTCATGGGTCATCATCAGTCAGCAAGATGCAGGTGTTAGTGCCGATGTTAGTTTTACCCAGCAAGATGCAGGTGTTAGTGCCGATGATATTACTGAACTAGAAAAACCAATACAAATTGTAACATAAAAGGTGTCAACACTGACCAATAATTCTCAGGGTTGGCATAACTATACGCTTAGTTTTAGTGAAGACAATCTTTCCTATGATAGTTCTAAAAAAAGCTAAGCCTGTGGCTCCCTCTACTGACAAATCATGCCTAATGCATGCACCAAATAACCAGTTCAAGTGAAAACTGGAAGAAATGAGTAACCACTCTAGGCAATCTCTTTACCAGAGCTGGTGCACACACGACCACACTAGCCACAACAAATGGAGAAGCTTCAAACAGAAAGCTACCAAATCATAGGTGCCGATTACAAGCAAGCAGCCCAAGAAAAACTTTCTGTAAGTAGTACTGCACCAAGCAATGCCATCTGTGCTGTCCTCAACGGACTTCAAATCAATTGATGCAATCAGCTTCTCGGCTCTTTGGAGAAAAGGAGAGCATGAGATATTAAAGAGTTGAAGTGCAGAAAGGCTGAGAAGTGTTCCAAGGCTGAAGCCACAATTCAAGAAATAAAAAGTGGATGACTGAACACAAAAGCCAGCAGATGAGAAGAGGGCCACATGCAAAAAGAGGTAGGCTGGGAAATGGACAAGAGGGGCACCAACGCACTGGGGGTATGTGGCAGAACACACAAGTCACAGGTGATGTTAGGAGCATGAAATTCATCACACATTCCTGTGAAGTTGTGGACTGAGGCAGTAATGCAGATCCCCAAAAGACACCTAAGCCAGGGTAACTTCACCCTGAAATGTCCTTGTATACCTTCTCTGTTGTTAGACAGAAATGCCTCTGGCTGAGCCTCTTGGGGCTTTGGAGCCTCAGTGGCCAGGTCAGAGCTTGCACTGTTGGTTTGTGGTGGAACAGAGGTTACTTGAAGCACAGGTCTGTCTGAGAGGTTACTGCCACTACAGCCTTCTTGGCCAGGGGGTGGAGCTTCAGCGACTACAGGTGATGTAAATATTGTGGATATTAGTTGATAAAGTATAAAGACTTTGGAGACAATAGATATGAGTAGTGGTGATTGGTGGTGACAAACATGGCCATAATATTATATAACATCCACCATCAATTAATTTTAGACACTGTTACCAAAGCTGCACGTATAACCTTTAAAACGTTTTAACTTCTCGGGTTATACATTTGCTTCTAAAGCTTAACACCAACATGCATTGAAGGGATGACTTATAAACATTTCTATTCATTACACTCTTAAGACCAATTAGGTGCCTTTTACCCAACTCGTAAAATTTACTCTCACCTCTTAAACCAAGATGTTCCTGCTTTCTACTGCTGTACATGCAATAAATGTCTAATTACTCTGTATAGGAGCATCTTTATTACACTGGATAGTACATACATATGCAGCAAGAGACAGAAATTAACATACAGTATGTGCTTTGTGAGTGCCAAACGTGTAACTACAGCAGAGCCAAATAACGGCAAAACTGATTCTTAAATCAATATCTAATTACACCACTGTGTTAACTGCGTCTTTGTTTTCCAAGGCTCCAAATCACAACAGAGCAGAGGTACTGAGTCAGGAAAGCAGCTTTTCAGGTTTAATGCTATTGTGTTTTATGCTTTTTTTCATCATGACTGCGAGTTACACATTTTTGTTATCCTTTGTGAAATATAAGCATAATTACCTGCATCTTTGACCCCATCCTTTTTCTCCTCTGTGGCCTCCTCTTTTGACTCCTCTTCCTCCTTTGTCATATCTTTGACCGTGCCCTCCTGCTGTCCCATGTCCTTCAGCTTGTCCTCTTCATCCTCCTCCTCTGCCGGCTCCTTCTTCTCCTTCTCCAGCCGTGCTTTCTGGGCCTCCTCAGCAGCCCGTCTTTTCACCTCCTCCAGCTCCTCCTCCCTCTTAGCCCGCAGCCGCTCCAGGATTTCCTCTAGATGGAAGAAGAAGAGATCATAAACATATACATGATAGTTGCAAGTCAAAACAGCTGAAGAGCCTATGACGTGCCAGACAAAAGTCATGATAATCACGCTCAGGGAAGTGATCAGTGACACAGCATGGGAAAAACCTACACACTTATGACATGATTGATATTTTTGAATATACACCCAAAACTAGAAGGGAAAGAATCATCTTCCAACTAACTTCTGTGTGTTAGACTTCATAAACAGTGGCAGCAACAAAGTGTTTATATGCTTTACAGCTAATCTGCATTTTAAATGTTTAAAAAAATATACATGCTTGTTGACAGGGAGCAACTCAAATTGTAACCTGCTGTAAAACACAATAAAGTTAGATTCCAGTGTGTGGTTAAAGACCATCATCATATCATTGTGTGTTTTCATTTGATCGCACACGCCAGCATATGCAGCAGCGACAGTGATATTGACGGGTAGGCTCGTTGGGTTACTGATACACGGTGGAACAGTACAAGTCATCGATGGCAACTACACTAGCACAGGCAATTTGTATAACAAAAGAGGAAATTGATGGCAAACTGCAGTTTACCACAGAGGATGTGACAGGACACCACAAATAAAATAGACCAAAAAATGTAAATAATTCAAATCGGTCTTGTGTTACCTAGGCAAATAAAGCTGTTTGTGTCTGAGTGGTGCAAAGCCTTTGTTCTAAGCACATCAGTCTCTATGTCAGTATATGTGTGAAATTAATATTGAGCGTAGCTTCACTGATATAAACAGACAGAATAACAGGGACACCTATCAGTATAACACAACACATTTCAACAGCACATTCTCCAAAAGGTACACCCGGTTGAATCAACCTTCATTTATTGACACACAAATCAAGAATCACCAGCTTGTTCTCTAAACTATATTATAATTTTTCCTTTGTTTAAACAACACTGATTTAGGCTGGATTCACAGAGACATTTTCCCTGCACGAAAGTATATCCAGCGACTTACGATTATTCAGCAAAAGCACTGCACTGCCAATCACATAGTACATGCACGTGGTGTTTCAGCCGTTTACCTTGAGATTGTCACAGAGATAAAATGGTTGCTGCTATGAAAGCATTCCAGAGTTATTAAATCCTGTGTGTGAGTATTAAGAAGCACTGTGCAGTGTTTTGGTGTCTAATAAGCTCTGAACACATCTGTTCCTCCAGCTGCACTTCCTTAATTGCATTTTATAATCTCATTAGTATAGCAAACAACACACCCCCACCCCTTGCTTTGTTTTAATGGCGAAGTCTATAATATGTTAATATATGGTTTACAGCAAAACTGTACACAACTCTGTGTGATTTCCCTTAAATGTTAAATGATTCAAACTGTACCATCTTACAATAACTGCATTACTTCTAAGCTGAAGCGTGAAATGAAGGTATTTAATCTTATGTATAATTAAAAACAAACTGGCTAGAGTACACAAACTATGGGCCACAAAATATAACCTCAATGCAATTAAAGGAAGCACACCTGTGACCATGGTAATGAACGTCAGCTCATCTGTGATCACGGTTTGCACGTCCAATTAATGAGTGTGTGAACGACATTATAAAATAACCCGTGAACACAACCGCTTTCTCACTTTTGGCCTGGTTTGTGTCTAATGCAACATGGCTGAACATGGTGAGGACCTGGGCAAGTATTGGCACATTGGTGTCAAATCCTTTAAAATGTGATTACAGGCGGCCAAATAACTGGACTGTACAACTGTGCAACTATACAAACTGGAGATCAATTAAATTCTTAACACCAAGGAAACAACACATTTTATAGACAACAGTCATAAAGTGTATAAAAAGAGCTTAAACATAGCTGGAAATTAATTTAAAAACCTTTATCTGCTTTCCCCATTATGGTGGTTTTGCTATTTCATTCATTATCCTTTTTTTAGTGTCTGAGGATTTTAATGCAGTCGTATGGATAAGAAAAGCTGCCAAATATAGAAACCACAACTTGGAAAGTAATGAGGGGATATATTCTCTGGGCATTAAGTGCTTTTTCCAAATTACTAACCAATTAATAATGGATGTATACTCAATATTAAGTGTGCTACAGTGAATATTCTTACTCTATTTAATTGTTGCTCAGCTAGTTCATACTGTGCAAGAAAAAAACACAGTGGAAGCACTGAGATGAAGCTGCTGGTGTCACTTTGAAAAACACTGACAAGAGCTGTATTTGTTTTTTCAAGTGGCATAAATGTTTCTATCTACTTAGCGAGGGTGAAGAGAGGTTCAATTTTAACTTATCTGTGCATAGCATATGCTTGTTAGCATTTTCTACAGGTTTCTATTCAAGCTGTTGTATCAAAAGTTAACACCACATACATCAGCGCCGTAGTAGTGCTGTTTCCTTTCACTGTTATGAACTTCCACGGCACAGGACACTGAAAACATGATGTGCTCACAGATCAGTGAATCATCTTTACAAACACGGCAAGCCAAAAAACCATAAACATGTACTGGGTGAACACCTCACAGACAAAAAGGAAGGGACGAGGGACAGAAGGAGAGCTAAAGCGCTGGACGCTGGCCAGACTGGGACCAGAGTAAGATTACCAAATAGCTGGGTTGATTCCTATGGCCCAGCCATCTATGACTGGGTGGCATTCATGAGCACTGGGGAGAAAGCAGGCGGGGGAGTGAAGGCGGGGGGAGAGAGAGCAAGAGAACGAGAAGAAAAAAATACTTGGGGCTTAGCGAGATCCTTCTTCCACTATGAGCCAAGATTAAACACAGTGAGACAACACATCTCAGATTTTCTGAAAACACATTTATTATAAGGAAAAATAATTATTAAGAGCTTTTTACCATTGGCGGCAGTGAGGTAACACTTATTACTGCCACGGGCCTTGTTGGTTAGGTCCTCAGTGATGTCCATGTGTGTGTGCACCTCGTCCCTTATCTCTTCAAGAGCTGCAAAGAGGTCGGCCTCCCAGTACTCCTTATCCAAGCAATCTATTAGCTCAGCTAGCTGGACCTGGGAAAACCAGAGTTTAGGAAGAGTTCAATAATTGCAACACAATATTAGCTCAATCTTATGACAGCTGCAGTGTGCCGACTGACGACCCCCCCCTTTGCTGATTCAAAGAAAGAGCCAGATTGTGACACATATACCATGAGCAAGGAACAAAAAATAGAATAACAAGAAAGAGAAAAGAATTGTGTAATTTAATGGTGGGAGTTGGAGAAAAAGGTGAGTCCCATTTACCTTGGTGCTGTAGTACCAGATGGCTTTGTCCCCCTGCTCGCCATCCTCCTCACTGTAAGGGAGGCAAAGGAATTGAGAGGAGGAGGGAAAAGGTAAAAATAATCAGACACAACAGGAAGGGGTAGGAAAAGGACAACCATAAATCTTGATGATATATGTTCTACATATGCTTGCTTTCTGTGAGCTGCTGTGGTGCATGTGCTTTAATGCTGTGTCTTTGCTGGTTGCCTTCTCATTAGATGCACTCACACTTATCAGGGGCTGCTGATGAAAATGATTTGCCTAAATCTGAACATGTCATATTTTTGCATTCCAGATGTGAGACTACCAATTTGCCAAGAAGATCCATCCATTAAAGCTACAAACATGTAACTTAAGGCAGCACTGGCATGAAACTCCAAACCAATCCACTCTGCTCCGCCCAGCGCTCCCTCTCCCTGCTCCACTCTGCTCTACTACAATCTGCCACGCTCCGCCACGCTGTCCAGCTCTTCAGATATTTGTCATTATGAGATGACAAGGAATGAGAATGCAACACAATAAGCAGAAATAACTGAAAATCTCTGATTGGTTAGAGAAGTCAATCCTGCTCAAAACCTTTTAGAAGCTAATATCTCTGCACTGCTGCCAGTGATGTTCAGTGAGTCTGGGTCAGAGGAGGCTTCGACAGCACCTCTCCACATTAAGACAAGTTTTTGAACAGACTTCTACAACAGAAATATTGTGGAAAAAAGTTACATAATGTAGCTTAAAAAATGATAATACTATGGTGAGCCTGCTTGATTATCAAAAAGGGGACCTTCCTAGAAATATTAGTCCATTTACATCTCTGCCTTTTTCTTGTCACAAGCACTTAACACATGTACAGTTGAATGCAATCCAATAAAAACAGCCCTGAGAACTAGTCTCCAAACTGATATTCAAGTTGAACCAACAACACAATACAGTTTCACTACTGATAAACAGTGACACTGAAATACTTAATGCCCCAGTTAACACTATTCAAAATTACTCAAAACACTGAGACTTAAAAATATGGGAGGAAAAGCGGCCCTGATGGAAACTGTCCAGGTGTACCTGTAAAATACAGCAGGTGAATAGTTATGTTTAAAAGGCAGACACAGTTTCTGCAAGGCCCGCCACAAGAATAAATACTTCACTAGGACACAGGAGTTTATGTAGCAGCAGCTACAGAGTGAAATACCTGACAGCTTTCTGCTCAGCATGCTCCATGCCTGGGGACTATGAAGCCTAAGGCCCTGTAACAGTCGTGTCTATTCAGCATCCTTCCGGGTCTTCACTAGAGGCACATGTGTGCACACACCTTAACTCTGTGCACGCTCACTGCAGCCACATCCAGCACCACAAACATTTTTCCTGTGCATGCTGCTTGTAAGCACACACGGCCTTACGGAAGGTGAAATCAGTAATGCTGCACCTGCTGGCATCCAATTTGGGAAGCAGGATGAAGCAGAGAGAGAAAGTGAAGTGCAGTGATGACAAACCTCGGGCTACCTAAATCTCTTAACTCTTATTTTGGGAAGGTGATCCATGGCCCTTTATGGACTATGCAGAAAGCCTTCTGCTGGTGCTGACCCAGCACGTACACAAGTGACTGCTCAGTACCAACATCACTTGCTAACATATGGGACCAATATTGCTGACAGTCAGGTTATGTTATCCTATGGAGGAATGTAGTTATTTTTGGTTTATTAAACAGCAGGTCATACCAACATGCACATCTGTACTTACTACATATGCGAGAAACCAAGCCTGGGCACGTTCATCTCACCTTAGAGCCTGAATCGGGCTGCACATTTCTGTCAGAACTCTACCTGAGCCTGACGCAGCTGACTTTGTATCGTTAAATGAAACAGACATTTGAGTGCTCCAGCCGTCTAGTTTAAAATCTGACCTTTGTGTCCGCACCTGACCCAGACCTAAGCAAAATTTCTGTCCAAACCCAGGCCAAACCCTTAGGTACCGACAGGTCCCATTGGGCTCGGTTTGGGTATCCACACTCTCTCTCGGCTAACAATATATACAATCCTGTACCTTGTTTCCAAGGTCTGCAGCTGGATCCTAGTTTGATTCACAACATATGGAACTAGTTTACTGCCAAGTCAAGAGTCAAGAATCTTTATTGTCATTATCCATAGCACAGAGAAATGTGCCACCAAGCTCCTCAGATGGTGGCACCAGTGCCAGATTTGACTACTAGTAACCTACTACTTGACTAACTTCAAACTGGGGCTTCACCAGACGTGAGTGGTACTTATGCAGGACTTAAGTGTTTGACACCGACTCCGACCTCCCAACCGCTTCTCTGGTCAGAACAGCTGTCTGTCAGCAGGAGGACAGGATGGTCTTCACCTGGCTGACTGACAGCAGAAATGTACTGGACAGAAATATGACCTATGTATGGATTTATTCATGGTATTAATTTCCCTGTCTTGCTACAAAGGATGGGGGAAGTTAAACCAGACAGTTCACAGTGACACCAGGAGCCTTATTTGTCACATGAGATTCAAGTAAAACGTTTCCAACACATAAATAGGCTAACAGGTGATCTACCTGATTTAAGCAGCTGTCTGTGGCGATTACACTTCAAGTGCACCAAATTGACTCAAAGCATTAAAAAGGGGTCCAGCAATGAGTCACTGTGGATCGACACATTTGACAGATAAGAAGTCTCTGTTTCATGAAATGGACGAGTGACAGACCTGCAGATAAACGCTGCAATGAGAGTTACAGCAGAGATTGCTACATCTGTCCATCATTTCTATAGTTAGAGCAATCGTTCATGCACAACCCATTTATTTTGCACTCACACCCAAGTGAGACCTTTGAGAAAAAAAATTTGGTGACACCTTAAATAAATTTGCTCGCGGCCGGGAGCCCTGACAGGTCATTCCACTTGGCTTCATTATCTGTCTCCAGACCTGGGTTGAACTCAAGATGGACACTTGGCTCTAATTACCAGGGATGGGAATTTAATGCAATGCCACCAACACTTATACATTTACAATTTATGACCAGTTCTGGGGTTAAACAATAATGTGTAAAGTATGCTGGTGCTTCCCTTGATAACAGTGTCTTTTGAATAGAGGGGGGTCAAATTCAGGTTAAACACATGTTCAGTAAAGTGCAGGTCTCCTACATTAAATGGGTCATATTAATGCCATGGCTTAGCAAAGAGGCTAGAGCAAGTATAAATCCATCCATACAAAGAGCTTCACAGACCCTGTAATTGTATAGTGCATCTCAAGAAGATCATCAAATCTCACAACTGCCAATCTTCAACGTAAACCTATACCAACCATTAACGTGGAACATCAGCTGCATAGACAGAAACAAACAGTGCAGGAATGTGTAGAAAGTAAGTTGTGGGATTAGTGGCCATTTCTTGATCTGTGGTGATGGTTTGTGACATTCACTCAAGTTTGAATGAATAAACTGCTTCTGCTAATTACCCTAAAAACCACAACATAAAATCTGGAAAGCTGTAAGAAATGGTAGTGTACTGTAACTATACTACTTCTTTTTTTTGCAAGGATGCTACAAAAAACAAGAACAAGCTTAATATAATTATTATATACACTTGCTTCACACAGTTAATCCTAATCAAATGTTATATTTTCAAATTTAATTATGACTATTAACTTTAAAATCCTAAAAATGCCATATCATCAAAGTGCAAGACAGTCTCACACATCTAATGTTGAATCCTAAGCAATAACTTTGGAACATAAAGGAATTATCATGAACTTACACAACAACGCGGCGGTTAAGGAACCAGAATTTGCGCTGGTGTCGGTCATAGCCGATGGGCAGCTGACGAATAAATGGTCTGCTCTTCTGCACTTCTGGGATGCAGTCTGCCACCCCGGGTACCTTGTGTGCCACACACACTTCACATTGCCACTCATCCTCTGGCACCTCCTGCAATGGTGGCTTCACACACTCCAGATGGTAAACAGCTGAACATGTCTCACAGCACAGCAGGTCACCAAGACGATGGCACACCCTGCAATGGTCGTCGTAGGCAACCACTCCTTCTGACATAAGCTCCTCCCGGGCAATGTTGGTTGCCAGGAACTGGTCCACCAAAAACTGAAGGACTTTGATTTTGCTCTCCAGTGGTTCATATGGGTAATCCTCACCTTCCTGGAAAGGCAAAATGTGCCGGTACTCTGGGTCACTCTCACAGTACGCCCGCACCACCTCCGGCCAAGTCATACCATCCACAAAATACAGAGTGGAGTTAACAGAGTCCTTCACGTCAGCGGGACCGAATGTGGTGTTGGAAGTGTCCTCCTCTCTGAGAATAGCTTTGAGCAGGGAGATGTGGGTCTCTGCCAGAAGTGTGCACTGCTCCTGGCTGGCCAGTGCTGCACAGAAATCCTCGAAGCGGAATGGGGAGAGTCGCAGCACTGAGCCAAAGTTGCGGAGAACCTCATAGACGGCAGACACATTTAGGAGGTGTGAGGTAGGAATCAAGAGGTCCTCAGAGCCCTTGGGAAGCTCCAAGGGAGGAACGTCCTTCGCCTCAATGATGGGAGACTGCGGTCGCATTGCCCGGCTTCTCCTCCGGCCTGCGAGCAGTGAGAGGAAATGAGCCAAGAGAGGTGAGGGGGAGAAAGGATGCACATAAACAAACAAACAAATTAAAAGATGATGTGTATATTACCCACTGCAAGTATTGTGTGCTGCCTATCTACTCTCTACAATAAATGCAGAGGTAACACATAGTAACCAATTGTTCAAAGTACAGGTGTACAGTATGAAAAGAAAACTAACATGTCTGCAGAATAAAATGATCCCTGTTACTTTTGTGCATTTTCATGATATGCAAACATTATACCAAAACAGAATGAGCTTTACCATCTACCCGTAGGATTACCCTTAGTGCAACCACGTGTATTAGCATTATTTGATGTCTCACTGGAGTGTGCTCTGTGAATTTGCCATCATACACTGCCTGCAATAATACAGGGACTGAGAGGATACCCCTGTGCAGACTCAGTACAATCTGGGTAGATTCCCTCTTTCAGCTTGTCTGGTAGCACTTGGGGATGGCCCCAGACTTGTGCACCCGGGGAGCTCAAAACTCCAAATCCTCCTCAAATTAAAAAAAAAAAAAAAGATGCAATAACAATTTAATGTTGGAATAGGACAACCAATCTCTTCCAAATACCGCACAAGGGATGAAGAAACATGTCTATAATCACTGTAGTATTGGTGTACTCTTCATATACTATTCACTCATTATAAACTTAGTATTATATGTTGCAGATAGTGCTGTGTTCTTCTGGCCTTCTTGTGAGCACTTCTCGATGTCACTAATCATGTAACATTACTGTCCAGCAGAGTCTAGGTTGTTGTATTAACTTTTCATAAGAAGACAAATCCTATGAAACTACACCACTATATCCACATTACCACCACCTTCAGTTTAAGTATTGCCTTAACCGCTGAGAAAGTGGAAATTTATTTACTGTGCTAGTAAATGTATTTATGTTAGGTCTACTATGAGTCTGTGGCTCAGCAGTGATGTCTGAACAGAAAGCAATGGGGTTCCAGCAGTAGGACTAGATGGCGATGGCCAGGGATTAACCCTGTGGTAGCAGTGTCAGAGGGTGTAAAAGGAGTTGGTGGTATCAAAGAGAGTGACTCTATGTCAAAGTGGTGGTGATGTGGCTGTAGTATGATGGACGATCACTCTGGGACTTCTGATTTTGTGCCAATCAATTTTAGAGGCACGACAATCCATGTCGCACATGCAGTGGCACAGACCAGAAGCACTGCGTGTGAGGCGCGTAGCTTCTCACCTGCACCTCCAGCGAGGCTCGTGTCCGAATCTGTACCGTTTACTTGCGCACTGGAAACACTTGGTGTACAAGCAGCACACAGAGGAGGCTACAGAAACACCACGTCTCTGACAAACAGTACACAATGAGGGGATTTCTGGATACACATGAAATGCATGTATATGTAGAGTGTATCCACCCCGGGGTAAAACACAGCAACTACAAACTACACACACTTAAAAAAAAACTGTGTGACCAGCAGGACTGACAGAACAGACATTCTTCTGTTTCTACTACCTGTTGCACCTGTTTATATTTGGAGAAGTACAAATGGTGCACTTCATTTTTAGGTGGAGGGTTGTATTAAAATAAATGGGATAAAGACAGAAATGTAAACTTTAATACAGTTTATTTTTATTACAACTTATTTTTTCATTAAATAAAGGTTATACAAATGTCTGTGTATGCTGTCAGTTAAAGTACTTAGAAAGAAGGAATATCAGAATGGGCACATCAGACTAATTAAAAAAAGAAAATCGGAATGGGCCAGGAAAATTGCAATTGAAACAGCAGACAACCTGGCTATTGGAAGTTGAGGTGTGTGTATGTGTGTGTGTGTGTGTGTGTGAGAGAGAGAGAAATCCCAGAACCAGATAAATTTTAACTTTGCCTAAACGACTTTTGTTAAGTGTTGTGAGGCAAACACATCAGGGAATCAAATCTACATTCACGTGGGGGTTTTTTTTTCATACATTTTTTTTTTTTTTCAAAAGAAAAA